TTAAAAACTCAAGAAGTGTGCCCTGTCCTGCTACCCAATTAGCCTCTACGTAAGGACTAAGCAGGTAAACAAATTTCTTGGTTGTAATTGGAAGATGTTTTTACGGAGAACATACTCTGTACCGCCCAACCAGATTATGTGAAAGAATGTTCGGTAGTGCAACACTTGGGCCTCATAACACAAAGGGGCTCTATTTCATTATCATATCCATTTACGAATATTAATTGATACCCCATTAAGTTACCATAGCGGATACCGAAGCGGCTATTATATGGTCAGCTGTTTGGGGAAGCGGCATGTGGGGCAACCGAAGTTAGGTTACCACGACATGATCAAAATGAGCCTCTCACCTTCTAAGCCTGATTGGAGGTCATGGGAATCAAAAGTGCTTGATCAGCGTGCATAGCGCGATCTGACCACGAAAGGCGTTTCCGAATTGCAGGGGAAATACCTTGTGTATGCAGAGAAAAAGCCACAATTGCGGAACGGACAGGTGCCGATGGGTTATACTCCATCGTCATCGACCCCATGGTGCTGTAGCACACGCGGTCGCGAGTGCCTGCGTCAGACATGCCTAGTGTGCCATGAGCGAGGCCACTCGAAGCCACCACCGAAACCACGATGAGTCCTGCTGAGAACGTAGGTAGAACCGGCGTAGCGTTTGTAGGTACGCTGCATTCGACTTACTAACAGCGTACTTGTATGCGGACTCTTTTTTCAGGTGATGGGTTTGCTATATTGTCCTAATGCTTTATATTTCATATTATTGTCTACTTGAACTATTTTCTATAAACTTGCACTCGTCCCTTAACTCCCTTAGTTCAGTTCGATAACATTGTCGCGTTTGTGACATTTGCTTAAAATATATTTTCTGCCGTCTTTAACTTATCGCGAATTTATTCGTAAGCAATTTCTTGTACGTGCTCATTTAGTGAAGATTTATGTCACCGTATCTCTATGGGTTATTCGAGTTAGTTTATTTGATCTCTTCCTTTCTAGTGATTGGTTGTTGCTTGATATCCCCGGTGTGGCTGCGCTTGATGTGTATGTTGACAAGGTGCTTATTTGTCCATTACCCACTACTTCGACTACACTGACTCCAGGAGAGAGTTGGTCGTTGCTGGAGGGGACGGGGTGCATGGTTATTGTGGCCGTGTTAGGCTCGAGGAGTGGTTCCATGCACTCAGTGTGGAGCGGACTATGGTCCAACCAACGCCTTGTGTGCGATTGATTCCCCAATTACAGCGTGCTTGTGTTTGCCTGTGAAGGAGTGTGGACCGGCTCCGTTGATGAAACGTGGCTCCCATCCACATGCCTCCCGGTCTTATTCCTTCGGATTTACACTGGATATGGGGTGTGTGATTGGAGCTGTGGGTGGTGCAGCGCAACCCACCCATGGTCCCTCTGTAGGCGCAGGCGTCCTGTGGCTTGCCACAGTGACAGGCAAATCCGAAACCGGATGACGCCAACCATATGTTACCATAGTGTTGTTTGACATCCAGGGCATCACGTTACAGTTTCCTTCGCAAACCTCTTTATATTTCTGTAGCAAATCAGATTATTTTTCATTATGAATACATGCTAGTGCCTTGGAATGAGAGGGGCAAGTAGACAAACAAATGAATGGGCAGTACCAGCCCACCGAATCCATTCAGGTAAGTAGCTCACTGAACCATTGAAAAAGCCTGGCTCATGACCTTACCATGAAAAATGTACACGCCAATGAGTTACACCTGCTTGATTAACTGATTTGTACTCTGAATCCCATTTGCTGCGTGCCCACTTACACAATTTCAATAACTTGACTCATTTTACGCATAAACAAAACGACGTGTTTGGCTGAGTAGCGTGCAGAAAAGGTGAGCTGAATAGAGGCCGCTTATGGGGTGGAGAGTGCTCCAGGCCTACTCAGCCCCCGCGCGACTGGTGATGGTCGTGCGGCAGCGAAGCAATGTTACAGAGTACAGTTGAGGCATTGCTATTAGTACTACTATTAGTATTATTATTATTAGAAAAACGCTGCGAGTTTAGAAAATGGATCAGTGATTAAAAAAAAGCCAATTTCTTAATCGCTAACTAGCTGGTCCGACAGAAAGCACTAGGTGGAAAAGGGAGGCATTAACACGACTACTATGATATGGATTCTCAGTGATCGTCTCCGGACGGCACAGCAAATATGGTGGACGTGCACATAATTAAACAGCTCTAAAAATGTTTGAGGCTATATCACCGGACAGCGGGCTTACCGATGCAGACAGAACTATTTTTGATATCGTCAACACTGAAATTGTTAAAGCTGTAAAAGAAACCGCGTACTCTAAGTTTGACTCCTTTGTCACCTGGAACAAGCCATATTTAATAGGCGTATGTTGGGCAAATTATTATTAAAGATTATGACCACGAATCAGTGGAGCAAGCGAATTTGGATTAGCTACGGAAAGCGCAACAGGTTGTGGCAATCATAAGGAAGACCGCACTAAATCTTGCGATATCCCGGTAGCATCGGCAAAGGGATGACGAATGGAGTATCCCTCTTGCTAGAGTTTCCACAGGTGCACTGCCTACGCCTACCAAGGTTAGACGACTTGGGTGTGAATGTATTCTATGCCCCATACCTTTTAAAACATCAGATGGATAATGATTGCAAGCTTTATTGAAGCATAAGATGTATAAATGGCTGAGGTAAAAACGCAAAGCCAGCACCGCAATTTAACTCGTATTGAATCTCGGTGCCTTAGCTCATGAGAACCGCGCCCAGGGTAGATAACATTTAAGTGCTTTCAACTCCCAGTACCACCATTAGTGACAAGGTACGCGCCTCTTTGCGCCCTTACTTTGAAAACGACCCAATAAGAGCAAAAAACCACGACTCAGATACCGCTAATAAGCATCATTGACAACACATCATAGAGTTTAACAGGCAACGCTTCTCACGGCGGTTGGTGAATCCCGATTGCTTTGTTTATTTGAAGCATCCGTTGCGATTGCTCCGGTTACACAAGCCCCAAATACGAATTTTCTGGTGTTTGTCACATGTATCATTTGCACCAATACAAATAAAACGCGTCAACAAAGCAGCTTCCTTGACAGTTGCGTTTCTGCAACCTGGGCTCTATAGACAGATCTCAGATGGTCACACTAGTCACAATAAACACGAGCCTGTTGAAAAGGCCGACTTTTAATAGGCGAGAATCAACAACGCTTCGCTGCTGGATGCCATTTTGCTCGAGACTTTTGTTATTCTTTCAATAACGCAGCAACTTATTCTGTGCTCTAGCGTGTGGTCTCTCTCTAGGTATGATTGCGTGTCCTCAGAAGAGTTAAACAGTTGCGTAAAGGACTTCGTGAATAGATTCTAGTGAAAATGTCTCAAATATGCTTAAACTTAGTTCTGATAGTATCACCATTAGTTGTAGAGGCATAGGCTGATTTTCAGTTAATCTATCAATTGCTGTTCATAGATATATATATATATATGTAATACTTGGAGTAGCTGAAATTTTCACAGATTAAGCCGCGAAAATAAACACTTTCCGAAGCAGTTGTAAAGCTCCTATGTCCGCAGAACGACGGGATTCAGTCATTTAAGCCCGACCCATCCATAACAGCAATACATAAGCTTATCTGTCCATAAGCACACAACATAACAGCTTTCCCTTCCTACTGTATCTAGGATGGCTGTTGTCTTACGAGTCTTGGAAGATTAACGTTGCGTTAAAATAAACAGCAACAACTGAGTTGACAGTGTTGCGACCAGAATCATTCAATACTCCAATGTAAGTTGGTGACATCAGAGGAAATGACAACCTTATACATTAAGCTGCTCGTCTTCATTTTACGTGCACAAATTTATTAAAGGTCTAGTTTTAGGTAAAGAAATCCGGTACTTGTAACGTAATCCCTCCAAATGCACCCTTGAAGAGCTTTATCGGGTGAAGTCGACAATTGCATCTACACTGATCAGTTAGAGATGCGCCGGTCTTGAGACTGAAATGAAGCTTCACGTAAGCTCGCATTTTGGAGGAGACCAAATTGTGCAAAGGTGTCGCATAAGGACAACGTTGGCATGAAAGCACAATCAAAGCCCAGTGATATCTGAAAGATAGTCAGCTGGTTTTGCAATGCGTATCCTTCAGCCTCTAGCTCGTTAACATTTGCTTGTACATTCTTACTGGGGTGATTTTGTAGTAATTGGGTTCATGCACCTTAGGCTCTATGTACAGTGATGAGTTGATACAGAGATTTTCGTCGCAAAAATGGGCATTATAAAAAATAAAAGTAGTGCAAACATGATGGAATTGGTGTGGTTCCTTAACTATGAAAGCAACATCGAATCTCCTGAAAGTATATTTCTTATCTCAGGCTAACCTGTTGGCAACGATTTTCAATGCATCCAACAGGGTCCGCAAATGAACAGGGAACCACATTCCTGGTTTTACTTTGTACTGTACAGTGAGCTGCCGCCTAATTTGTTGAGTTATATTTGTCAAAATTCCAACCAAATGACATATTCCCAAGAAGGAATCCATTCCAAATCAGTTCACCTGGCCTGGCTTGGCCTGGGGATAAATATAGGGTGTCTAGTTTTGTTTATCTACCAAGCAACATGGTTGGCCAATTTAAATTGGTCATCATGCTCACTAATATAGGCAAACTTCTAAACACAGACAAACATCGGGAGTATTGTGGAAAGTTAGCAAACGTTAGGGAAAAGCAAACAATAAGTAGTGTATTCGAGAGGTTCTGCTTGTGCGAACGATCAGATCCTCAAGACTTCGACCGCGTGGTGGCCACAGGTTTTGACTTTTATTGAGAAGGTATCACCACCCAATCGATAGACAATGAAGGTTACTGTAATAGATTTGAATGCAGTGGCTCTATATATATGAGATTATCTTATTAGGTGAAAGTAGGTCGCCCAACATATGATACGGACAAGGTAGACGAGAAAATATTGTCTACAATGTAAGTGGTATGCACTGAAATTAAAAAAAGGATACGAATGCATAGCGGGGTTCAGCTCAATCGCCTTTGTGAATGCCTCCACCGCGGCTTCGTAGTCTCCGGCGCGGAATAATGAGCTATGACAGTAAGGGGGAAAGAAGAACTTCAGGTGAGTGAACGTAGTCACACCAGTCCGAAGAATAATTACATTGGAGAAAGTGTGCAATAAGTTGAAGTGTTCAAGGAGTGTAAAACATCAACATTAACAGCTGAAACGATGCAAAATCCAGAAATGCAAGCTATACTCAGAGTTTCAAGAAAGCTACTGGGATGACCCACATAACAATAGCTCGCGAGACCAAGACAGAAAAGCAGTATAGTGACTGCTACTCACTCGCCTTTGCTTTTCAACCATGATGGATCTCTTTCCTTTTCCGACAAATCAGCTGAAGGCAACACCCTCTTCATCATTGCCTTGCGATGTTCTGCTTGTTTATTCAGCCACTACGTAGGGTAAAACAAAGTATCCAACCGTAAGCTGAAGTTTTGACGATACATTATCAAATCAACATGTTTCATCGTTACGTTAGTTACCGACAGAATAAATCGGTCAAATGACTCAGCCATCTAATTAGACGCCGGTTCCGTTCACGGGGATCTTGGGATCTAGTTGTCAGTGGGTGACGATCTCCTCCTTTACGACAAAAAATACCAGTGTCACTGGTTTTTGGTATGGTGATTCCAAGGATAAACGTATCGGTCAGACGATTTCAACTTTCTTAGTCTTGTCCAAAAGTCGTTCTATGCATGTCTATTTCGCTGTCTCATAGCTCCCCATACAGGAATGGTTACGGTGGCAGCAAACAGAAACCAACGGTTAATCGCATCCACCACATTCTGGTAACTACACTGGGCCAAATCACAAAGGTTCAATGCAAGTGACAATGTCAAACCGACTGAGTACAATGTATGCCAAAACGGAAAGTTGTCATATGTAAATCATCCAAACTTCAATGCAGTGTTCAAGAAAAGACTAAGCTACGCAGTGATTGGTTGATGTATACTTGGACCCATCTGGACGGCTAAAATGATGCATCAGAACAACAGAGAATGATGCCAGTGACAAAAGTTTGATTTGCACTACTTGATCGAAAAGCTTAGACAAAAGCTCAGTCACTGATGCTCCAGGAATCTTGCTTGGCGTTTTTAGTAAATCAATAGGTATGGGTAAGTAAGCCAGTCGTTAAAACCCTCATAGAAAGAAAAACTTTTACAAGTATGAGACAGACAAGTGCAAATCGAATGACTAGTTTCAAACAATGCTCAGTGGGCGTGCCAGTCAAACAGCCATTGTAAACAATACCGCCGGCAGCTGACTCATTACCAGTCGACATAGCATTGAAAACGCAAACGTTACTTCCCTGATTTAAATTCAGCGCACACAGTGGAACTCCTTACATTTCTACTCAACAAGGTAACCCTCAAAAGTCAGAGCGTACACCGAACAGACATTTTGGTCTTATCAAGAATTGCCAACAGTTAGCAATCCATCTACCTCCTATGAGGCTGGAAGCCGTGACCTTAACCTTACGAATCTGCAATTAGGAACACTGGGTCACGATGAACTGCAACACTCAGCGTGGCTTGCATTTTGCTACTAATAATTTTAAGAAAAAGGAAACAAATATCCAGTGTTTTACCCGACCTTTACTTCCTGTCTGATGAATCTAGCTAATGCCATTTAAGTTTCTCCACTACCCGCATAAACATGGGAATAACAAAGTTCAGCCAACCTCTTCTTCTTCTTGTTTGCGCGATTCCCGTTCGGGGGTGGGGAAAACTCGAGGAGTGAACGTCACCGGAATTGTGGTCGAAGTCCTGACGGGTAACTCCACTATCGGTTTTCTGTCTTCAAACAGTGAATGAGAAACACTGTTTTCAGCGAAAGCTGTCATAAAAAGTGGTCTCAGAGTTGCAAAAGATAATACTGTCGTCATTCCTCAATCCTTTTTCTTCTGCCATGGACTTTGCCAGCTGACACGCCTCCTTTCGCTTTTGTTCCATCTGATAGTGTTATGGAAGGTGAACTCGGTGTGCCTACTATTGTATTCTGATCTTCCCGCTGCTTATTCAGCAGCGCTAATTCTGCTAAAGCTTCCTGACCTGCTTCTTTCTTTGCCTTGTCAATACGTTCCCTTTCACTTGCTTCAAACTGGGACAAGGGGAATTATTTGGGCAACCTGTCACTTACCTGCATAACCTCAGAAAGTGCACGTTTTTCTCCCTCTCGGACTTGCGTTTTCTTCGCTTTAATCCTCGATTGTTCCCGTTCTTGGTGTTCAATTACAGCTTCCTGTCTAAATTTCAGCAGCTCAGACTTGTCCTCTGTACTGAGTGCAATCGGGTTTAAAACAAACTTACTCGTTTTATCAGACATTAATTCGCCCACAATGCCAGGCTGGGCCTTCCGAAGCGTGAAGTGGGCACAGCCTCCTGAAATGTCCACTCGGGATTCCTCGACAATGATAGGTTGCGTCAAAATGCACTCGAACAAGTATGGTTTGATGACAAGCTGGCGGAGAGAGAAAAATTATTTACAAAAGTAAGGTAAGGTGAAATAACTGGGGACGGCATCTACTTCATTACCTCCGGATTCATAGATACCGAAAGAAGGATCAGCCCATGAAAGCGAATGTTATCAACCAGAGTTTCACTCAGATGGTTAAGGACTGCTGCTTCGCATTAAATACCTAACCTAGATCACAACAACACCCCAAATAACACTGCATTATGCCATTTTCTTAGGAAGGCTGACTAATTTTACCGAAGTATATGACACACTTTTACTGCGGTAATTAACCACTAGCAAAGTCAAACTAAAGTCTTGTATAAGAACCCTGTAATCGATCAATATGCAATTTGAGTCGTTAAGAAGCAAATTAACGTCGTAGTTTCATAAGTTAACTGTTTGATGTTTAAATTTTTGTTTGGTAGTAAGGGAAGCTGATCACAGTAGCAAGTCCGTTTACCGCCGCAATTGATCTCACAGGTTAAACCTGTAAAACTTTTATTGCCAGGGGATCCTGCTTCCACTTTAGTTTCTAGGACAGACAGAACCATTTTATTACACGCAAATGATCTGCTCATTCGATATAAATGCCTAAAGTCCCTCCAGACCTTTGACCTTGGTTGCCTAAAAGACACCTCTGCGCGCTGTGGCACCCAAATGTACAAAAGAATGAAGTTCACAAGTAAGTACAAGGACAGCTTGATCAGGCGACTTTGCGGAATCGGTGGAACTGGTTAGTTTGGGTATGTCTTATGTGTGGCCAGTTGCCACTTCTAAATATGAGTCGTTTTGTCTGTTGTTTGGTCTGAACGTGTAGCTACCGGGTGCGTATAAGGAAGACCGATGTAGGAGACGGAATGCGCACCCTGTCGTACAGTCAGGATCTAGTGGACCTCATAGTGACGCACCGGACATTGCATCTGCGTGACTTCCCTATGATGGGACCGCTGGTACATGTGCGCGCACCAAGCAGCACTCATGGGAACCGGAAAAACCTGTGGTGCCGCACATGAAGCGCATAACTCACGCTGTGTGCTCTGGGCGTCTAGTAGTGAAATATTGGTGCCGTTCACCCGAGACAAAAGTCGAAGCGAAACTACTGTCGGAAGTCAAGTGATTCCTGGACGTCTAGTTTGTAGATTACATGTTTCGAGAGGGCATCTCAACTGAACAGGGGGACGTACAGCAGGACTGCGCTGACAGTGCGCAGTAACGGATGACCATATTTCGCGGGTGTGACCGATAATATATCCATGAAGCAACACAAACCTATGTATTCTAGCTAATAATCGCCAATGTTCAGTTTTCAAGTAATATTTCCGTACACTCAATAGAAACAGTGCACGCTGCGTTTACGTTACAATGGGCTACCTTCCTTTATGCAGAGTTGAAACCCATATCTGCCTTGTTTTGAGCAGTTTCTCATTAGTTGCTCCTTACCTTCTTGCGGTGCGAAGTACCCGTTTGTTGGGCCATGTGTTATGCATGCCAGCACATGGACTTGCACGGCTTGTCTTGCTTTTGCTTAACGGGGTTCTGGATGTATGAAGAGGAAGATAGGCTAACCGACGACCTGGTCAATAGGAATGAAGTCCGTCACTTCAAAATTGGTTTTGGTTGATGTCTCCCGACTGCCAAGCTGGAGTCCGAAGGACGTTGATCACGTTTCGTTATATACGTTGGTTAATATGTCAAACAGCTGACTTCAGTTGCGTCTTTGTTGTCAGTTTATCTTCTCTCCTCTTTCCAATAACCTTCCCCTCCAACAATAACCCCACAGTGTATGGATAATTACGCTTAGCATTATATTGGTTTCATTTAAGTGTTGTATTCTGTAATGTTCAGCATCTCCCTTTTCCTATATCATATCTTTTGTTTTGCGGCACGGTTTGTTGTAGTGTGTATCTCACCTTCGGCTAATGTATACCAATGATGATGGTGATGGGGTGACATGGTCCTACACGCTGCCTAAATATCATGCTCTCATTCTCATTGTAGACATCCATCAAACCGATATTTATTCTTTCTGGTCCGCGTGTGTCTATTGTTCATACTACGTTGCGTGACTAAGCGATAGTATCACGGTATCCCACACTTTCACAAACTCTGTTGACGGCTGTATGATATGTAGGTATTTCGAGCATTCTTTTAGCACGGAGGAGCCATGAGTCTGACTTGCCGAGCTACCTCTGCAGAGTGATAGCCGGTCGGTTCCAAAAGCGCGCGCTAATTTTACTTCTTCCAGCTGCCTTCCCCGTACACTGATCGATCGAAAATTTACTTCATCTTGAACAAGTAAACGGTAGCGGGTTGCCTGTAGGAACCATAATTACATCAGCCGGCATAGTACGCTCAGTCGCAATAGATTTCACCAGCCATGCGTTGTTATTAGCTACTAGCTGCAGTTGATAATAACCACTGTAACCCGTAAACTTCAAGTTCTTTTCCTATGAACCTAATTCAGACATCGGTTTTGTCAGATTTAAACCCAGCGTGATCCGTTGCCTTCCTTCGGTCTCCATTATCGTTCGGTCTGGCATGCTTTAATGAAATTACACTCTTGTGGCCAAGGTAAGCGGCCGATCCACCGCGCATCTTGGAATCCTTCGCCGTCCATGTTTACTGTCATTTCAAAACCAAACCACAGGATTCTAGTAATGCGGTTAGTTTACATCCTCCGCAGATCAAGGGACTATATTTAACTTGAGTCACACTGGTGACGCAGAAACAGCCGCACCAAGCTTCGTTTACTTCACTTCAAGCCAAGGCCGTAATACTTGACTGATATCCATGCAAAAACCGACTATGTAGCTAGGCCTTGGGGTTCATGAATGATCAGTGGACGTCGCAAAAATGAACGATATTTGTTAGTGATTTTCGCCTACGCTAAAGTGGTAGTTGGGTCAAAGAAGGCTTACATGACGAAGCTCACCAACTGTTTAACAGAACTAAGAATCGTTTTCCTTAATGAAGATATCAGCTGAAGATCCAGCTGAATATTTACTCTTATGGGTGCATGAAACACATTCTTAAATAGAAAATAGAAAATGATGTTGGGGATCACCGTACGCTAGTTGAGAGCAACTCAGATTACGGACAAAGTCTTCTCACACTATGCAAAAAAGCTTTCACTAGTGGTCGATTACCAACTTCTGGCATACGGGGAGACGTCGCAGTAATTGGTGTAGCACTTTGTCAAAGTAATGTGGCCCCAAGTTGATCACATCGCTATCAGTTGCAAGTGGTAGTATGGCTCCACCTTTCTCGACTCAGGTAACGGGCTGGTCCGTAAGGATACCTGCTTGTGTTTTGGAGGGTCTCCAAAACTAAGCACTACAAAGCCAATAAAACAGGGTCGATAATCCGACCCGGCTGAGCTGCCAATCTTCCTTATTAGATGAACAAATCTGTGATCTACCGCATGAGGTTAGACAACACCGCGATTTCTTTGTAGTAGGTAATATTCTATTCCGGCAAATTGGTTTGTGCTACTATTGGGTAACTTCCGAAAGTCCTGGTCTGCAATTGATCCCTAGGTTATTTTGACAGACTCTATAACACCTCACCGGATTCAGATCACAATGAGGAGCAACACAGTCCGTTAATGGCTCAAAAACGCTTAGAGGTGCTCATGCTGTTTGGTGTTCTCAGTCTGCTTCGGTGATAGAAGCCGCTTCACTCGCTGTAAAAGTGGCAAACTACTAATGGAGAAAAAGGTGGGTCACCGATCACTAATTTTTGTAGGTGCTCGAGCCATTGGGTTGGGCACTTTCACTTCCAGTTCATTTAGCACTCACCGTAAACTTGTATACCTAGCATAACAATTGCTTGCTCTGGGCCTTCCATTTCGTTTTGCAGACGAACCGAAATTTGTAAATCATGTTATTATGAAAAGCAAGCTGCCTCCTGTCCAGGCAGCGAAAGTATGGAATAAACCTTCAACCCATGCCACCTATAGAGACACAGTCATGCATACCCGTTGTCCTTATAGTCAGTTTCCTGGAAATCTGTATTGCAGGTGACTCGATGCAGCTAATTGCTGTATGGAGGTGCTTGAAAGAATGGGAACCCAGCGAAACTTATTGCCATCCTCCGTGCACTATGCCTTGTCTCTTGTAAAGCAATAATGTTCTAGATGGTTTCCGGGAACTTGCTTCAGAGATTCCACCAGGTAAGCGCATCCGACATAGGTTATGTTGATGATGTCGCCTTACTGTTTGACAACCAACAAATTCAACATAACTTTCTGAAACATTTGATCATTAAGAGATACAGGCACGCTGCTTCTCCTCATAAAGAGCACAGTGCTGCTTCAAGATTAGCTCCTTATAGTGGAACAGGCGGACAGCTTTGTCTAAGTGTGCAGTTTCTTATCCGTTGGTGGTACTATTGGAAAGGAAATTAATAATAATAAGTAATAATGTGTCAGCTGTACGCCTTGACGGCGCTTCGCTGCCGCGCGATCACCACCAGCCGCGCGGGGGCTGAGTATACCGCGAGGACGCCCACCCCTAAGCGGATTCGAACCGGTGACCTTATGGTTGCAAAGCAAACGTGCAGACCACTCGGCCAACGGCAGACTATTTTACACGGCTTAAGCTTAGTACTTTAGACTGTTACCCATATATATATATATATATGTATATATATATACGGGATACTTCCACAGCTTTTAATTAAAAATTTACACAGATGTTACCGCTAGTCACTATCTCACCACTAATTTGAAGGCCTTGCAGTGCGTTCTGTTCATGAGAATCTATCTTGCGTGATCGAATACATCTTAGTTTCGTAGCATTTTAAACCCATGAGATAAAAAATAATAAACTCAGAGAGCGTATACCGCGTAATCCAACAGCATGATTTCCTTCTGTTAACTTTCACTCATTACTCTGTGATGGACTAAAGTGTTTGTGTCAGTTTGAACTCCTACTCACGCACGTGCGGCCATTTTGAAAACAAACGTTCTTCCAGCATCTGTACTGCTGGAATTTGCTAGTTAT